GCACATGTTCTCTGCACATATTTTGTGCAAGGGACATGGATAAGTACATGGACATCTTTCTTGGCACAGAAGCCACCAAGGAGGCATTGATTCAGGTTGCGATTTTCCACTACATTTATCATGGAGCAGATACTACACTGGGTGAAATTTGGTACATGTTTTCAAGGATGGCTGCAAGGTGGGTCGGTGGTTAGCACCATCGCCTTGCAGCTAGAAGATCGCCGGTTGGTGTCCCGGTGAGGACAACTGGGATCTTTCCGTGTGGAGTCTCCATGTTCTCCCCGTGTAGCGTGGGTTCGGTCCAGTTCTTGGTGATTCTAAATTGTGCGTAGGTGTGAATGTGAGTGTGCTTGGTTGTCCGTCTCTAAGTGTAGCCCTGTGATAGACTGGTTACCTGTCCAGGTGAACCTGCCTTCACCCCGAGTCAGCTGGGATAGGCTCCAGCCGCATGTGACCCTAGTGAAATAATGGAGGATGTTCTCAAACCAGAGACTCTACCTGTCACGCCCGCTGCCACCAGGGCCAGGTAGCTGCAGTCCTCTCTCTCTTCCTCCCTCTCCTCCTTCCTCGCTCTCCCTTTCCCTTTCCATTCAAGTGGGCGTGAGCTGGTGCAGTGACTGAAGAGGACGGGCAGGTGATTCCAATCAGCTGATGACGCAGGCATGTGTCGGCTGCAGCTGTGCCTCATCTGCAGACCAGCATTAAAGCCACTCTCAGTCCACAACTCGTCGCCGGACCGTAAACAGTCCTCACCCAGATCCTCTGCCACCACCGCCAAGCCACTCCGTCAGCCGGCGACTCCTACCACAAGGTACCGGATTCACTCCCACTTACCTGCCACCTGTCCGTCCTCTTCAGTCTGTCGGTCCCGACGCCGATCATCAGCCACGGCTCCGTCCGCCAACCGGCACCTGCTCCACTCGCCTTCCCCTCCCTGGCTTCCCCGGCATCAGCCACTCGTCACCACCAGCCTTCCCACTGCTGTGTCTGCGGCGCAGACGATCGTCTACTCCCCGACTCCGCCAACCAACCCTCCTCCCTGCTTCCCCTCTCTCCTCGTTCGGCTTCAGTCAGGTCTGTTTAGCCTAGCGTTCTGTCTGCCTGGTTTGATTAGCCCGTTAGTCGACTAGCCTCTTAAGTTAGCGATAACCTGTCTGTGTTTAGCGCTAGCCTGTGTGTTAGCAGTAGTCTGTCTGTCCACGTGTTACATTAGCCACGTAGCTCCAGCCTTATCCTGCTAACACCCTATCGGGTGCATCCTGTTTGCTAACTCTTTAAGTTAACACTCGTCAGTGTGTTTTGTGCCCCCGTTTGCCTCCTAGTTTCCTGACTCGGTATTACCGAACTCGGGTTCATGAGTTTTCATTTGAGTGTAACCCAGTCTGACCACTAGCGGATGTAGTTTGCCCTGCCAGCCTTATAAGTTTGTACCTTACTCCAGTCTGTACAAAAAAGCATTGTTTTATCAACCCGCCTGCCATGATCTGTTGCCTCGCACTTGAGTCTCTGAACCAGTTCGTAACACTACCTCTAACACAGAGTGCAGCTGCACAGCATTCACTCTGCAGACCATGCCCTACGGAGCATGTCTCTGAACCCCAGTGACTATGGATGGACATTACGTGTGCATGGGTATGAGCCAGCTCCAACACTAGACCCCATGACTCCTGAGGAGCTACTGAAGTCCATGAGGGGTCACGTGCATCTGGGCCTGTGGAATATGTAAAGGCATTACATGTAGAAACTGCAGTCATGATGAGTCTGAAGAAGACATAGACATCTTGAAGCTTCTGACACTGAATGAGAAATAACTCTGAGTGTTATATAAGTATGTGAAATAAAAGCGACTGTAAAGGTGAGTGTCATGTCTTTGGGTCAAAGATATTAATATTTTCACGAATGATAAGTTAGAGAAAAGGTTACAAATAAGTTCATGATGTATAGATAAATAAGCTTGACTTCATAGGAAAAACCGTTATAAAGCTACGGTTAAAAAGTTTTCCGCGAGACGTCTTCGGGGGGGGGTCGTTTTGGTTACGTCAGAGTGAGCGCTCGTCTTGACTATAAACAATCTTCGGCGTTTTTTCTGTTGGGAGAAACAGCCAGCGGTGTGACGGAGACAAGGTCTGGGGAACCTCGGATGTGCGCTGTGTCGGCTCTGGAGCGTTTGAGCCTGGGGAAATTTTCGTCTTTTTACTAATTGTCACGAGAAATCTCCATAAACATAAGAAAAGCAAGCCTTGTGTGTGGAGTTTCTTAAATAGTTCGCTGGCTGTCTAGCAGCACACAGTTACCTGCAGTGAGGACAGCACAGTAAAAAGACGAGCAGACGTTGGCGCGACAGCACAGTGTCTTACTCAGCAGGTTCAAGCAACACAGAACAACAGTGAACAAACATGAGTTTACGTTCAGGAAGAAACTATCTGAGAGACAGTGAGCGGCAAAATGAAGCAGACGCAGAGCGTTGTCCAGACGTTGGCGCGGAGCAGCAGGACACTACGAAGCAACGGTCGGCCATGCAGCAACCTTCACCGTCACTCAACACGAGGTCCAGGGCTACAAGCAGGCGGTCCCACACATCATCATCATCAGGTTCTTCAGCCACTAAGGCCTACGCCAGAGCACAAGCAGCCAAGGCCCAACTAGCCTTTGCTGAAAAAGAGGCTAACTTAATGAAGCAAAAGGCATATTTAGATGCCAGCCTCCACATTCTAAAATCTCAAAAAGCAGTGGCTGCAGCTGAAGCAGAAGCTGCTGCCTACGAAGAAGTAGAGAATCAGAGCGGGGAGATATGCATGGGACCTTTTACTGAAGCTGAGCCTCTTGATGCAGTGCAGCGCACCAGTGAGTATGTCGCACAACACTGCGAGTTACTCTTTTCAGAAGCTTCTGTCAGGCCACAACAGCCCACTGAAATGAAAGACAATCAGTCAGTTTTTCAGCTAACAACTGCAACCCAGCATGTCCCTCCTCCAATAAAATCAGACATAAAACAAGAACAAGAAGAATCCAAGGGTCCAACAAATACCCAGCTGTTAAACCCCCTGGCTCACATCTTTCATCCTCCAAACAACAACCTGACTGAGTCAAATGGGGCACAAGATTTCGCCAAGTATCTCATCCGCAAAGAACTAGTCAGTGGTGGCTTGCTGCATTACGATGACAAGCCTGAAAACTATTGGGCGTGGAAAGCCTCATTTGTTAGTGCGACTAAAGACTTAAGCCTGTCAGCTAGAGAGGAACTAGACCTGCTCACAAAGTGGTTAGGGCCAAAAT